CCATTATATGATATAGACTGGTTAGTGTTCACCCATATTTCTCCTCCATCTGCAAATATCGTATTTTCCACCTCCTGTGCTGACTTGCACGCTTACCCATCTATTATTCATTTTACCCATTTTTCTTTTTTCGTCCCTTGGCTGACGAGAGGGCGTAAATCCTCTACCGGCCCGAATGAAATAACGCTTATGTTGTTGTTGTTGTTACGATATTCTCGGATGAATGATAAACATTAAATCACGATTAATAATCTCAAATATAAGGTCTTTCTTATATTAGTTTTTCACGTTATCTCCAAATATCAAGAAAAACATATGTTACTTCATAATTTATAGTTCTTCTGTTTGTTTGTAATTAAGCACAAAGCTACACAAAGGGCTAACTGTGCTCTGCCCACCACGGGTATCGAAACCCGGATTCTATCGTTGTAAGTCTGGGAGGCTAGTTCCTCTGCTTCATGGTTAACGATTGTTTGGTACTTGTTGATGGTTACGATACTTTATGGTTAATGGTTTTGCTGCTTTGTGCTTTATGGTTATATTTGGTTATAGATAGACCATGGCTACATTGTTTAATTCATAATTCCACAAAATAATATATATATATATTTCCTCTTTTCTTGAAACAGTAAATTTATTAGAACGCCATTATGTTTGCCATACTTGATAACAGGTTAGGTTAGAATTAGAATATTAATGTTCGCCAGACTTGGTGATAGATTAGATCAGTATTAGAACATTATTAGGTTTGTCGTGCACTGTGATAGTTTAGGTTGGTATTAAAATATTAATGTTCGCCACACTTGATGATAGGTTGTTGATTTTTTCTAGCAAGTTTCAGACTCCCTCATCCTGCAACTAGCGCCCTCTGTTGAGCATCAATCAGCAGCCATGTTAAGTATCATGAAGAGATACTTATGGCACCATTTTTCCATCCTAACAACAATGATCGGCGGACACGACGACTTCATCAGGGCTGTCCGAAACCACGTTTTGGACAGCGTAGATTTTAAGTAAGTGCTCAGTAAAACCTCGGTAAGGTTTGCTCAAGGTATGCATTTCAACAAATGTGAGTTATTATTAAATAATTGTGTTAATAATAACAGACTAAGCACGTACTCTCCGCCTAATCCCAAAACGTTTTATACTTTTTAATGTCGTGAAATCATTAAGAAATTACAAGTTATGTTCAAGTCAAATGTTATTTGAATTCAACTTGAAATTGGTACTGTTTAAAGCAAGTTTCTATTGTTACAAAACTATCCAGATTATTAGCACATGGACTCACATATATTCTACTTTTACACGACACTT